GGCTCCAGGAGGCCACAGGAAATACCAGGGTTTTATCATAATGCAGCAAGAGGCCACAGGTGGCCCCAGGAGGCCCCAGGAAGCTCCAGAAGGCCCCAGGAGGCAGCAGGAGGCCACATGGGGTAGTAGGAAGCGTCAGGCCCCGGGAAGGCCCCAGGATCCCCCACGAGGCCCCAGGAGCAAAAGGCCCCAGAAGGCAACAGGAGTGCTTCTAATCCACGGTGCTTACATATTTTCATATCAATTGGGCCTCTCCTGGAGTACGAATCCTTGGTGTTTTCTTCATGTTTCTGTATTTTGTTCTTGTCCTGCGTATCCACTCCTACGTGTTGTACGTATGCTCCTATAGAACGGGCCTCCCATGGGGCACGAGTCCTTGGTGTTCTACGTGTGTTCCTATATATGGTCCCTCTCCTGTGGCTTGAATCCGAAGTATTTTACGTCTGTTCCTATAGATTGGGCCCCTCCTGTGGCACGAATCTTCCCCAGGAGGCCCCAGGCGGCTTCAGGAGGATCTAGGAGGCCGCAGGAGGACCCAGGCTCAGGCGCAGAGACGCGCTCGTACTACTGAGACTCATTCACACCCCAATTCATTCAAATTTAGATTCACTCCCAGACCTTCAATACTCAAGCCCGTTTATATTAAAAAACTCTTGCGCCTAGACGCTTACATGCTAACATATGCACATATGGGGAGCTTCGCGCAGTGAATTATGTTGACGCATCATGCTCCCTCTTCTTCTCCTCTTCTCCTCCTCCTCTCTTTTCCTCGTCTCCTCCTATTTCGATTCCTTCATTTTCAGAGATGTTCATACCCAGACTGACGCATACCCAGACTTACTCACACTCATATTCAGTCATATTCATATTCTCTCGGAGTCATTCATGCGCAAACCCACGGATCCTTCCCAGGACGCCACTCCAGCAGGCTCCAGGAGGCCCCAGGAGGCAACAGGAGGTCCCAGGAGGCGCCAGGAGGCCACAGGAAGGGAAGATCCAAGAGGCCACAGGATGCCCCAAGAGGCGCCCAGAGGCCCCAGGAAGCTCCAGAAGGCCTCAGGAGGCTCCAGATGCTCCAGGAGGGCACAGGAGGCCACAGGAGGCCCCAGGAGGCCACAGGAAGCGCCATGAGGCACCAGGAGGCCCCGGAAGGCGCCAGGAGTCCGCAAAAGGCCCCAGGAGCAGGAGGCCTCAGAAACACCATTTAGATTCTGAGGATGTTTCGAGCGAGGCGCGGGTTTCAGCACCCCCAAGGGGGAGCCGCCAGGGGGTATTGCGCTCCTCCGTTCGCGCCAAGATGGCGGGTATGTCTCGGGCGATTTGCCTGACTGTGGCCCAACATCATCCGCTTTCGGAACAGATTTGGAGGATGTCTCGAGCGAGGCACGGGTTTCAGCACTCCCAAGGGGTAGCTGCCAGGGGGTATTGCGCTCCTCCGTCCGCGTCAAAATGGCGGGGATGTCTCGAGAGGTTCGCCTCGAGCGGTTTGCCTGTTTTGTGGCCCAGCATCCTCGGCTTTCGGAGCAGATTTGGAGGATGCCTCGAGCGAGGCGCTCATTTTCGCCCCCAAGAGGGGCCAGAATTTGAGGATATCTCGATGGGTTTGCCCTCTTTGGTGGCCAGACCCGTGGGCTTTTAGTTCATGTTTCTGTAGATCGTCCTTGTCCTGCATATCCACTCCTAAGTGTTGTGTGTATGCTCCTGTAGACTGGGCCTCCCCTGGGGCACGAGTCCTTGGTGTTGTATGTGTGTTCCTATAGATTGCCCCTGTCCTGCGGCTCCAATCCACAGTGTTTTATGTACGTCTGTTCCTATACATTGGGCCTCTCTTGGGGCACGAATCCTCCCCAGGAGTCCCCAGGAGGCTTCAGGAGGCCCCAGGAGGCCTCAGGAGAGGCTCATGCGCAGAGATGTACTAATGCTATTGAGTCTCATTCACACTCCAACTCAGTCACAGTAAGACCCACTCCCAGACCGTCAATACTCAGCTTATATTTGAAAACTCTTGCGCCTAGACACTCACGGCGGACAGGTCCATGCCAATAGATGCACATATGGGGAGCTCCACGCGGTGAATGATTTTCGTGTGGGCGGTCCAGGTCTGCCCTGCGCCTCCCTCGCGGCTTGCTGCTTGGTGTCTTGCCGCGCTCCTCTGCCCCGGCATCGGCGTGTGCCTCGTGGCGCTTGCGGCCGAGTGCACCTGTACACGGCAGTGGCGTGTCGGCGTGCCCACCGCCCTTCCCCCTTCTCTTCGGCATGGTCACTCCCTCCCCTCCCCCTCCCTTCTCCCACCCCATGCTTTCCTCCCCCATGTCATGAGCGGGCGGAGACGGGTACAAAATAAGCTTTTCCGACGTCGGGGACGCCTGCTCCTGGGGCGACTGGAAAGTTTGTGCCCCAACGTGGCACGGCACCGTAAGGATATAAACTTGCCAGCCGCCAGGGGGGCAGGCGTCACCGACGGCGGAACAGTTTATTTTATACCTTTCTTCGAACCCTAGACCCTCTTCCTCCCCCAGCCCGCCCTCTTTCCCTTCGCCCCTCCTCCCCCCCTCCCCTCCCTGCTCCTGCCCCTTTTTCCGCCTCCCTCGGGGCTCCCTGCGCGCCCTCCCCTCCTTCCCCCATTCCCCTGCAGCCTCATGTCTGACCAGTTATGAGCTTACCCCTATCCCTAAGATTTACAAGACCAAAGGCGATAACAATCTTAAGCATGCGCCATCAGAAACAGTCGGCAGCGAGATAAGGCGAGGCCTATCATAGGGATTGGGATCTGTTCCAGGCTTGTAGCCTCCCCCTGCCCCTCTCTTCTTCCCTCCCCCTCCCCAAATGCAGCATCCACAACTGGTGCTAATTCAGCCAGACGCGCGGATGTACAAGCGTCATGCCATCGGCTGACAAGAGAGACTTGACATGACGGGCGCATGTTATCTTACCGACCGTATCATATCCAGAGTGTCCCTTCCCTCCCCCCTCGCGTCCCGTACCTCCTCTCCTCTCCTTTCCCCTCCATGTTCTGCCCGCCCGTCCCTCGAGAATGCAGTGGTCCATCTATCGCGAGGCATTGCAAGCCAGGGTGTCATTGCGGCAGGCATGCAACGTCAAAGCAAGGATTGTCCATGGAGCAGACGAGGAGAAAGCAAGGCATGCAACGAAATTACGCAAGCAGAGACTGGCAAGGCACGGCGAGGCGCAGCGATGAATGGCACGAATGGCCAGGTTTAAGGGCACAGCGAGGCATGGTCGCGAAGTCTGGCGCATTGCAACACATGATTACCACCGTGGACCCCAATCAACACTTGATTGTAATATGTGCGGTGCAAATTAGCTGGTGCCATCGCTGTGGTGCAAGCTAGGTACTGCAATACATGTGGTGCAACCTATGTGGTGCAACGCACTGCGAAGCCATAAGACTGAATGCAACTGAATGCAACAACACTGCAAAGCAATGCACCGCAGTGTAGCACAATGATCCGCACTGCAGCGCAATGCACCGCAATGCAACGCGCACCGCAATGCACCGCAATGTAAACGCAATGCAAACCAATGTAATGTAATGCAAATCAATGCAATGCAGATCAAATCAATGCAGAGCAACGCAAAACACTGCACAGCAATGCCACGCACTGCAGCGCAATGCAAACCAATGCGAAGCAATGCAGACCAATGTACTTGCAATGCGATAACAATTCAAACCATCGCAATGCAACGCAATGCACTGCAACGCAATGCAACACAATGCAAATCAAAGCAAAGTAGTGCAAGGCAATACAACGCACATCATTTCGAAGCATTGAACACCTACCTTGCGACAGGGGCCCCTGACTTGGGCCCAGCTGACTTGTGGACATGTGGCATGAAACGCCGCCCCCAGCATCGATCTCAGATTGCTTTTGTGGCCGCCTTCCCTTGCATCAGAGGCGCAGCACGCCCCCTAAACTTTCACGATTTGCGGTCAGAGGTTTCTCTCAGCAAGAGCATGGACCACAGGCCTGTTCACGCAGAGTTGCACTGGGAGATTCAGCCAGGAACTTCGATTGCACGTTTAGCTTTTCCGCAGCGTTGCCCAGAAGATTCTTCCAGGATGCCGTCGTTCCGGAAAAGTTCCAAGAGTACATGGTTGACCTGGCGTGGTTGGAGCTGAACCTTAGCACTTATGAGCGCGCTTTGATACAAGTGGCGGGCACTTACTTCAGCGTGGACATCACGTCATGGCGAGGAGACGCTGATGCAGCAGGCCAGAGTGCGTTATGACAGATTCGTGCCCAGCTCGGTATGGAGATCCAGCCAGACCGACAGAAAGCTTTGAAGGCGATGCAGCGTCATAGACTCAAACAAAAACAAGTACAATCCCTCAAGAAGAACAGGAACCAACAACCGTTTACAATTACGGCTTTGACGGTGAATGGCTCTGCTACCTAATGACTGGCAGAAGTGGCTAGATGGAGGGAGGGAGTTTGGTATGAACCGCTTCGCGGGCAGGGAACGCTGGAGTTTTCGGACACGTTGCAGGCTGGGGCAACACTGAAAGGAGGTTTTGCTCCAGGACTCGATGGTATTACCCCGGACGTGTACATGCAGCTGCCACTTCTGGCAGTGGCGACGGTTCACAACATGTTGTCGAAGTATTCCCTCCGAGGCTCCACCAGCCCAGGGTCGCCATTTTGCAGGATATTGGAGTTCATCGGCGTACCCAAACACAAAGATTTTCAAACTTTCTTCGGTATTAGATGGATTTGCGCGGCGGCCGTACTTCTGAAATGGTACTCGCGAGCTCTGCAGCCGAGATTGCGGGCACACATTCGCCCTACAAGCGTGCTGTCTTATGGCTTCCGTCCCAAGATATCCGTATTCGATTTGATTTGGCTCCTCAGGGAAGCGTGCCACTACGCGCACACTCGGGGGGCACAATTCGGCATAGCATAGCAGTGCAGTACATATTATTAAGACGGCGTTTGATGATATACCCCACGCGCTGGTCTGTGATTCCTTGACCTCCCAAGGGGCCGATTCGCAGAACGTCTGGTTGCACATGCGGGAGCTGTCGCACATGCAGACTCGCCTACAACTTCCACATGCTGGAGCGACTTTGTTTTTGATTTTCATAGATGGGCAAGCAAGGAAGGGTGGAAACACCGGATGAATTCCGCACGTCTGTCGAGTAGTTTATGGAGCCATCGGTGAATTCATGTGGTGCCTTGAGATGTGGCCTTTCTTTCGATGCAGATGCCCGACGCGTATCTCGCGCACCCTGGGCAGACAGTGTTTTTTATTCGCTACCAGTAGCTATGTTGCAGCACATGGTGGACGGGCTGACGCAGTGCATGAAGAACAGAGGCCGAACTTCTTCTCCATCATTGTGTTTCTCTGGGAAGCCCGAGTCGCCGGAATACATGCTTTGCGGGGCCTTCGAGGGGACGTCGACCGTGGGCTTGAGAACGCAGACTGGCACCGACGCAGTGGAGTTTGGCGAACGCACGGTGTTGGATGCATTGGGGGCCCGAGCCGACTGCTCCGTAAGCGCAAGGAGTAGCTTGTATTACGACTGGGCGCGCGTTGAAAAGCATTTGTCCCATCAACGCATGCTCCGGAACAAGATATTGGTTATGTGCGCAAGTCTGCGGGCGTGGAGGGACACCGCCGCTGCAGCTGCCGCGGGGGCTACGGAGACATGGCACCTCGCGCCTGAGATACTCGAGCACCTCCGGAGCTGGGATATGAAAATGTTACGACGTGCGTTGAGACTCATCCGAGAATGCACAAAAAGACTGACCGATTACCGCCTCCGCGCAGCTAGGGAGCTGGAAGCATGGTCGAGCAGGCACTCTATTCCACAGTTGACGGTCCGAGCCTTGAAGGCGGTATTCAAGGAATCTTGGAAAGAAACATTGTTCCAGATTGGGGGCGCGCGGAATCCGACCCGGGAGTTGCGGGAGTGCCTGGGGGCAGCGTGGTGGGAGATGTGCCGGGCCCTAGCCCCCCAGCACAAGAGGCGCAAAGTGGGGGCTGCGCGTTGCAGAGGGGGGCGACGAACGCCAGATTGGGACCGGCCACTCGTCGCAGCGTGGGACGCAAGATGGCGAGATGAACAGCGAAATTTGTGCAGCAACGTCGCAGAATGGATGCAGAGACTTCCAAGGTTAGCCAGGAAAGTATCGGATATAGGGCGTTACCATTGTTCACCGACTGCGACTTCAACGACAGTGCCCATGACATGCGGATCGCAGTGCGATTGGAGGAGGCCGTGAATTCGTTCCTTCGCTTTTTACATCATCCCGTGGATATGCAATTGGGCCAATCTGAGAATCGGCAATGGGCACGAACTCTATTCTCTGGGAGGTCCGTGTGAAGTGGCGTCAGTGCGGCGCGGCCGATATGTGTTCGTATAGCCAGACGTCTGCGTTGGCTACTCGAATGGCTGGCGCCCCCGACCGGACGCCGTGCCCATCGTGGAATGGGACCCAAGGCGGTGCAATTCCATTGCGGGCCACTGCGCCGACGTAGCGTTGGACCAGGGGTTCGATTTTGCGAGGGGGGCGCTGGGCAGGCCGACGCCGCGGAGGGAGGTGATATGTCGCAAATCCGATTGCGTCGATGGAGCAGCGCGCCGGCAGACGCGCGGAGCAGCCGGCGTTGCAGTGCATATTTGCACATATTTGTCTCAACGTTTACTCATGCGAAGAGCGGGCCGTTATGTGGGAATTATGATGAATTCGTTCGAAGTCGAGTTCCTCAGTTTGGAGTCGGGCTGAAGTGATCGCGCGGGCAGGGTAGATGGCGGGGTGAACAAGGCAGCGCAGCGCGGTGCAGCGCAGAGGGTTGGTAACGACACCTGGGCCCACTGGGAGAAGAAGAAGAGCGCTATGCTAAGCCATGCAAAGCCGTGCCAAGCAACTCAAATCAATTCAAGGCAGTGCAAACCAATGAAAGGCAGCTCGAGGCAGTGCAAGGCAATGCGAAGCAAAGCGCATCAATGCGGACCAATGCGCACAAAAGCAAGCAAGGCCGCAGCAGTGCAAAGAAACGCAAAGCAATGCATCGAAAAGCAAGCAAGTGCAAAGCAATACAACGCAATGCGATTGCAATGCAACGCAATGACAATCCAGAGGCGACGGCGGCGAAGGGCGGCCACGGGCCGCCCGCGCTGTCGCGCAGGCCCAGTTCCGTATCAGAGAAGTATGAACCCCCAAGACATGCGATGCCACGCGAAGCAACGCAGCGCAATGCGACGCAATGCAGTGCAATGCTAAGCAGTGCAACGTAATGCGATAGCAATCCGGCGGTAGCAATTCGACCCTTTGAAATTGCATTGGCAGCGAGGCAAAGCACTGCGAGGCAGCGCGCTGCACTGCGATTTGCAATGGGAAGCGATGCAATGCAGCGCGAAGCAACGCGAAGCAATGGAAGGCAGTGCGATTGCGATACAACGCAGCGCAACTCAGTGGAGGCGGCGGCGACGGGCGGCGACGGCGGCGGCGACGGGCGGCTGCGCGCCGCCCGGGCCGCCACTCGGGCCCAGTTCCTCATTGGAAACGCAAGAGCCCCCAAGCGCAAATGCTGTCTGGGGAAATGAGAACAGACGGGGCGGGCCCTCTAGGCTCGCGTGGTGTGTGTGTGTGTGTGTGCGTGTGCGTGTGTGTGTGTGTGTGTGTGTGTGTGTGTGTGTGTGTGTGTGTGTGTGTGTGTGTGTGCGTGTGTGTGTGTGCGTGCGTGTGCGCGCGCGTGTGTGTGTGTGTGTGGGGGGGGGGGGGCGCAGATCGGAAGAATCCGCTTCTCCCCCTCTATCCCCCTTCCCCCCGTGTCCTCCCATCTGCTTCCTTCTCGTCTCTCCCTCCCCCCCCTTCTGCGCCATCCTTCCCTCCCCCCTTCCTTCCACCTTGTCGTCGTCTCGTTATCATTCGCTGCCGACGTCGGTCATGCTCGTTCACCATTCATCATGTCGCGCCCGCCGTTCGCCATTTATCAGTCGCCACGCGTCGTCGTCATCGCCATCATCATCGTCATCATCACCGCGGCCTCCTCGGCCCGAGCCAGGGATGTTCAGGGGGGGTCAGTCGCGCCAGAGGAGCGCGAGGCGGGTCGCAGTGGGGGGCCCCGCCGCGTGTTGTGGGCCCTACTGGCGCCCACCTTATTCGTGGCCGCTGCTGCTCCTCGGCGAGGCTTGCGGCTCGTCCAGCGTGGCCTGCTGGCGTGTCCTCGCGAGCGAGGCTTGGCTTAGATCATCGGGGCCTTCTCCGGCGCCCGCGCCGTCAGTCTGGCGGGGGCGGGGCAGACGCAGGAGGAGGCTTCGCGCGATGGTTCGTTGCAGGAGATTCGGACTTCGATGAGGGGCTTCGATGTGTACCAGTGGCCGACTTCGGCATCTAAGGGGCGATCTCGACGGAGACGGCGACGGGGCCTTGCTCCAAGTGCCAATGTCTCTGCGGGCTGCGTGCTCGCGGCGAGCCAGCGCGCTTGGGCGAGCTCGCTTCGTTCGCTCGTGTCGCCCTCCAGAGGCGCTGCAAGGGCGAGGGGCGGGGTGCGTGGGTTGGTGGTGGTGTGGGTGGGCGGGGTGGGTGGGGCGGGGCGGGGTGGGGTGGGGTGGGGGTGGGGCGGGGGTGGGGTGGGGGGGTGGGGGGGGGGGGGGGGGGCGCTTCGTTTCAGATGGCGTGGTCATTTTGATTTATGATTTATATTCATTCAGTCGTTCGCCCCACCCGAGGGCGAGGGCGAGAGGGAACGGCCGCGGGAACTTATTTCTTGGATTGATTCAGTCTTGCAGGGGATTCCTACCAGTTGCCCCCCCGCGCTGTTGGTGGACGATAACTTCTGCGTCGGCCTCGGGCGCTTCAGCTCTGAGGGGCGCTTGCGTGGGGCTCGAGGCTCTGTCGTGCACTATGGTGCCGAACAGGGGGGCATCAGCGGCATGCATTATAGGCGGCGCTAGTGAACGTTCAGTTTGGAGGCGGGTGCGGCCCGGCGTTCTTCGTGGGTCAGTCGGACACGCATTGATTATATTGCCCTGCCGCCGGGCGCCCGGGCACGCGTGTCTCATTGTCATGTCTGGAGGCGCGCGGGGTGCAAGTTGCAGTTGGCAGACCGGGCCCCCGCGAATGTGGGCTGCGTTGCGCTCGTCGCGGGCGTTGGCATGCAGAGCTGGCGCTTTGGGAGTCAGGGTCGCATGGCATGAGGTTTTGAGAAGCAAATGCTGAGCGCTCGTCGCGTGGGGAGGGGGCGAGCGCTACTTCGACTTTGCCGGGCGCCTGGGCGGCTGGGCTGCCGAGGCGTCCAACTCCAAGCTCATGCGTGCCGCGTTCGAGCAGCTGGGCGTCGGCGGCAGCTGGCGCTTCCTCGATGACGCATTGAGATCCGCCGGCGCGGACATGTCCCGCGCGCCCCAAGCCGGGTCGATGGCGGCGGGGCCGAGGGGGGGCGGGCGGAGCCAGACTTGAATGCCGGCGTTTGCGCATTCTTTTTTCGGGGGCCCCCGAGGGTGATCGCCGATCGGCTCTAGGCGACGTGTGTGAGAAGCGAGGCTTGCGCACTCGTAAACTTAAACAGCGGGATTAGCGGCGGCGGCGGGGTGGGTGGGTGAGGGGCCTTCAATCTAGTTATGCAGGCACGCGATGGCCGTCTGGTGCGGCAGTTCTGCGGGCTGATTGCGGGGGCCCGTCTTGGCCTCGAGCGTGAGCAGTGCAGCGCGTTTGCGGCTGCACCGCCGAATATCCGCGACGGGGATCAGCGCGCGCGGCTCCCTGGCCCCGATGGGGGGCATGGAGGCTGTCGTGCTATGTAGGGGCGCCGCGTGCGAGGCGCGCCCAGTCGTGGAATGGTCGCGTCTTCGCTCGCGTGATCACTCGCGGCGACGTAGTCCGTGTGCTGCTCTGTGTAGCGGCGGCGGATTGCGGATTCCCAGGTCATTCCACGACCTCCTTCTGTTCCCTTGCCCTCGCCACTATTCCACAAGTCGCCCGGCGGGCTCGCCGGGCTCGCGACGGGGGCTTTAGGGGTTTTGTTCGAAGACGTTTGAACAGCAAAGCTTGCCGTGTTGTGTTGGAGTGGTCTGCGCCTCGGGAGGTCTGGGGCCCGGCATTGGCGGCCCCCTCTCGCTCGAAGGAGGCCCAAATGACTAGTCTGGGGGTATTGTTGATAAATTTAAATTGTTCCCCATGGCGGTCCGAGTTGCTGGGGCGGCCCCGAACCTCTGGAACGTCTGTCAGGGTTTTCGCGTAGGGGGCGAAACGCAATATCAAATGTGATGGGGTGCGCTTTGTTCATCTTCTCGACCCCGTAGGGAAATCCTTCGCGGGGGCTGTCTGGGGGCGTCGGACAGGATGTTCGATGCACCGCGGTGTGGGTTTTAGCGAGGGCAGACGTCGAGCGCAGCTGATTTTGCAACGCAAGCTCGCGTCGGCAGGCGCCGACGCTCCAGTGCAGACTGACTCGGGAGGGCGGAGCTTGTTCGTTATAGGGCGTGGTGAGCGCCAGATCATTTCCTGCAGGTGCTCGACCCTGCGGTGGGCCAGTGGGTTGGTCAGACCTGGTCTGAGCAATGTGAATCTTTCTTTGCAGTTGCGGACCCCGTTGCCCGAACTGGGGTTCGCGTCTCTTGCGGCGCGTGCGCTAACGAGCTAGAGCGTTCTGGCCCGGCTGATGGAGCCCTCGATGCCGCGCGGAAAATCGAGAGCTGGGACGCTCAGCTCGAGCATTATATATAGACCCCCTCAAACTCAAACAGAATCTCGAGAGGAAAGAGATGGTGTTTCGGCAGTGCGGGATAGGGGCGCCGACCGAGATGAATGCATTTTACGAGCAGCTTCGGCTTCCAGGGGGGGCGAGAATCGTTGCTCGACGTCTTGGGGCTAATCATCAGACGGATGGGTGGGATTATCATGAGTGCGGAGACCGTGGGGCACTTCTGGGGCCGGGGGGGGGGGCTTCGATGAAATCGAACGGCTCGTGTTCCTGGGCCTGGTCTATATATCGCTCCTTTCGGGCGCGGAGGCGCGGCTTCCCGCGCGGCGGCTCAATGGTCAGGTTGGCCGTTTTGTGCAGACTCATGGTCGGGCGCTGCTTGCGGGCGGCGCCAGTTTCGGGGAATGCGACGACCGGAGGAATGCGATTTGTTGCCGTGCTTGGTCAAACGAACAGGTGCGATCTATCTAGGCGATCTCTGCGGCCGAGAATGCGTTGTGCCATCGGGGGTTGGCCTGGGCCCACAAGATTGCCCAACGTCCCCATGACGACGTTGCTCTCCTGGCTGCTCTCGCAGGTCGCTGCGGAGATGGCCGCGAACAGATTGTTCCCAAGGGTAAACCCACTCCTCATCATGCGAATCCTTGGTGCAAGCTCCGGGGCAAAGATCTTGCTGTCCTCGGCCTGGGGGGACCTCGTGCGCGGGGGGCTCCTGAAGGCCCCGGGGTAGTTCAGCCCGTTCGAGTCGGACGCTCGTCTCTTCCGACCTCCTCGAGACCTTCTGCGGTGCCGAGCGTCTTTTCCCGAGCCCCGGCTCAGCGTCGTCAGCGGTCCTGGTCTGTGTGTGCGACCTTGTGGGGGAGGCGGGATGCTGGTGTACGTGTGCACGTCGTGTACTTCGTCAGCTTAAAGCTCATCGAGCGCCATCGCAGCGCGCGTCTGCGGCGGGGGCAGGGGGCTGCATGCAACCGATGTCCCTGGCGCGAGAAGGTTTTTTCAAGCGTGGGTGCGGCCCGTCGGCATTTGGAGACTCGAGAGCGAAAGGGCCCTTCGGGCCCCTTCCTCGCGTGCGCCTGTTCTCCTGTGCAGCGTAGGGGTTCCCATCTCTCGGCTTTTCGCGCGCGCGTTCGAGCGCGCTTCCCCGACGGCGCTTTCGTGGATCTTCGGCGCTGTCTCGAGGATGGGCGGGCTGGCGACGGCCCTGGCGAGCAGGCGCAGAGCCGTCGGCTCGGCGGGCCCTGCGATTGACGCGGCCAAGAGCGCGGCGGGCTTTGACGGGCCTCGCGGGCAGATGCAGGGAGTCTTAGGACAGGTGGCGATCGCGGCCGAGCGTCGCCCGTGCCAGATCAAGATGGGCACCGAGCAGTGCGACGCCGAGAAGGACGCGGCATCGTCATCGGAGGAGATGGGTAGAGCTCGTGAACTTCGCGAAGCAGGGCCAGTCGGTCCCAGGGGAATAGGAAAATACGCTCATCGCGCGCCATCAGAGTCAGAAGGACATCGAGGCGGTTCGCGGCCACGTGCTCACGTGCCACCAGAAGAACGCGTATCGGCAGGAGGCGTGGGGCGACGAGGGCCGCGATGAGATCGAGCTCGTAGTCGTTCCCGAGCTCGGGGTCGTCGCGAACGAGATCGCCGCCGCCGTTGCGCTGGGGCCGGAGGTCGAGATCAAGTGCCGGGCTCCACCTCGCAACCCAAACGTTCGGAAGGTCGTGGCCGGTCTTGTGGAGCTCGGGGATTTCGAGGAGCAGCCGCGGATGTGGCGGCCACCCGGGTCCACGCAATCCCAGGGGCCGACTGTCGGAACAACGAGATCCCAGGGGCCGAGGCTACCGTCGGATCTACGCATTCCGAGGAGCTGAGCGTCGGATCTACAAAATCGAGAGAAGTGCAGTTGCGAGCATCCTGATGACGGGGATGGGCCTCGTCGCGCGGGTGGGCGTGCCGAGGGCGGGGCGCGACTGGGTCGCGCTGCCCGCGGCGCCCAGCTGAGAGGCCTTTCGGCTATCCCTCCAGCGTCGAATTCACGGGGCGCGCTTTGAGCAACAATGATAATATGAAGTTTTAGCGACGAATCTAGTCGCGTGCTGGAGTTTGAGCGCAGCAGTGGGCGACGTTCAGGCGCGTGGGTGCGCTCTGCTGAACTGCGGGTGGTGGGGGCCCTCTCGCTTCCATGCCCTCCCCCGTGCCAGTTTTGGGGCCAGCGCTTCGTGGCGGGAGTTTCTTCTCGCGCATTGTGTCGCCCTGGATGCGCGGCGGGCCCCCCGCGGACTTGTGGTCGGCCTGTGCATCGCGAGCCTCGCGACCGTGACTCCAGCTTGCTGGAATTATCTCCTGGTGGTGTCAGGCGGCGGACAGGGGTCAGAAATACATGAAAACAACCTCATCGCCATCATCATCGTCATCGTTATCACCGTCGTCATCAGCATCACCAGCATTGCCATTTATCACTTTGCATCACCAGTCCTCGCATATCGTTGCAATCGTTGTCATCACTAGCATCGCCGTCACCACCAGCATCGCCATCACCATCGCAAACACCGTCATCCTCAACACCATCAACATCATCAACGTCATCATCACCATCGCCATCACCACCATCATCATCACCATCATCATCACCATCGTCAGCATCTTGACCATCATCATCATCATAATCACTATCATCATTACCACCACCACCATCGGCATCATCATCATCATCATCATCGTCATGATCATCATCGTCACTCATTACCATTAGTTATTATCACCATCGTGAGTATCACCATTGCCGTCACCATCACCGTCATCGTCAAGATCATCTTCATCATTCTCATTCGATTTCCCAGCGAGGGCTCCAAAAAACAATACACGCATACACTTTCGGGGTCCGTGCGCGTTTCTTGGGACCGCTCTGACCCCCCCCACGAAGCGCGCCAGGGGCGGAACCAGAGGCGCCGCCATGAAGAGCGCAATGCCGATACAAGAACTCCGCACGGGCCTCCGAACGTCAACGCTTGCATCGTGCCTGATCTCCGTGCTATCGCGCAGTGTTGGAGGAGACATGCAGTAGGTTCGTGTCGCATAGACGCGGCGGCCATCCCAGCGTGGACCTTCAAGGTTGATCGCCGACAACCTGGCACCGACAAGTATTCAATGATTCCTGTCATCGGAAAGCCGCGATCGTTCAAGGCAAAAGGATCCACGCGGTGTCAGAAGCCAACGCGCAAATCGTCACGACACGAACCTGACATATCATGACGGGAACGACGGCTTTGTCCGTGTGGGAGAGCGGGCCGCTGTTCCCTCTGGCTTCTCCCGCTGGCGGTCGGGCACGAAGAGAGGGAGGGCGGCGGCCGCGGGGCAGGTTGTCGCCGACGGTTACGAGTTTTTCGCTAACAGGACGCCCGTGCCAACGAGTGGCAGGAAGACGAGGAAACAGGTGATTTGCAGGGCCACCAGAGGGGGATACATATACACATTATATACATATGCATATACATTTACAGAATGGGGGGGGGGAGAGAGAGAGAGAGAGAGAGAGAGAGAACGAGAGAGAGAGAGAGAGAGAGAAAGGAAAGAGAGAGAGCGAGAAATAAAGAGAGAGAGAGAGAGAGACATAGAGAGAACATGAGGGAGATACAGAGAGAGGGATAGATGTATACATATGTATGTGTATGCATATGTATATGTATATATACACATATGTATTATAGGTGTGTTTGTGTCTGTTGAGGTATATGTACATATATATACACCTACGTTTTAAGCAAGGCAGAGGGACAGAAAGAGAAAGAGTACATCACAACATACAGAGGGATATATATATATATAGAGCAATGAGGAGAGAGAAAAAATAGAGAAAGAGAGAGAGAGAGAGAGAGAGATAGAGACAGAGAGAGAGAGAGAACGAGAGAGAGGAAGAGAGAGAGAGAGAGAGAGAGAGAGAGAGAAAGAGAGAGAAAGACAGAGACAAAGAGGAAAGGGAGGGAGGGAGAGCTGGAGGGACAACAATGGCAACAAGGACGAGAGGGCCCGGGTGTGTGGAGGCGGAGGAGGTGGAGGAGTGAGGAGGAGGAGGAGGAGGGCGAGGAGGAGGCGGATGAAGAGAAGGAGGAACAGGAGGAAGGGGAGGACGAGGAGGAGGAGGAGGAAACGGAGGAGGAGGAGAAGGAAGAGTAAGAGGAGGAGGGGGAGGAGGAATACAAAATGATAGTAATAGGAATAATCTTACGAATAAGATTAATCATACTAATGAAAAGCAAAACTAAGATAATACTATTAATAGTACTAATGCCAGTAACGGCTCGACATACTATTAGTGAGGATAATTGTAGAAAAATAGGA